GATCAAGACTGTATTGTCTAGTACGGTATCCACTAACCACCAAACGGAGCTATTTATTTTTAATTATGTAAAGTTCCATCCCTCAGACACCCAAGGTACACTTCAAGTGCTCATATAGCTAGTGGCTATCGCATTAAGCAGTTTAAATATAAGACAGTTCCATCATCACAGAACGTTCTACGGGGCAGTGGCAGGGGGTGGTACTGAATATTTTAAATAGGGTAGTTAAGAGAGGATTCACTGAGAAAGTAACGTTTGAAAAAAAAAATCAGGGGTGAGCCATATTCAAATCTGAGGAGTGAGCTCTCAGGTGAAGGAAAGAGCCAAGGCAAAGGGCCAGGGGCAGGCTTGGCCTGATCAGGAACGGCTAACGGGGGCAGGCGTGGGATGCGTGCGCGGGTGAGCGGCTGGAGTGGAGCTCTGAGAGGAAAACAGGGCCACATCATGCAGGACCTTCTAGGCCATGGAAATGATCTTCGCCTTTATGCTGAGTGTAACAGGACACCAATGACAGCCCGGACAGAGGAGTTATGGGTTCTGATCTACCCTTGGAGAAGGCCATTGAGGCTTCTGTGAGGAAGGTGGCTTTGGAGGAAGAGAAAGGACCAGCGAGGAGGTGAGTGTCATAGTCTCAGCGAGAGGTGGCAGGGGCTTGGCCTTGGGCGGTGCTGTGGAGGTGTGGGAAAGTGTCCTTCTGAGGGTAAAGACAAGATTAGACAAGGGACTGAATGTGAGGATGAGGAGAGAGGAGATGCAAGGGTGCTCTGAGGCTGCTGACCCCAGCAGCCGGGCCAGGGGTGGCCCCACCTTCCCGATGGACCAGGTGTCTTGGTGTAGTGCGGGGACAAGAGCCTGGCTGGAGTCCAGGACAGGACGAAACACAGAAAACTGCCAGCGTCAAGGAGGACACCCCTCTCGAGGATGTATGTGTGTGTGCATGTGTGGAGGTCATAAAAATGAAGCAGTGGCTGAAGGAACCTGTGGAGAAAACACGGGTTTATTTCTGTTAGTAGCTGGGGGATGTCACAGTGTGTCTTTGTAATGATGGAGCAGGAGGAAGGGAAAGCATTGAGAGATGTCTTGTCCCGAGGGATGAGGAGGCCGACAGGCCTTTCCATGAACTTGGGGACCCAAAAAGATCCAAGAGAATCACCCGTGAGGTGATTCTTTTGGGGACTTTGGAAACAGAGTCCTGGCAGGCACCTCTTATCCACAGTTTCCTAAAAGCTGTCATCTCCCAGATTTACCTTCCACCAGGAGTGGCCCCAGACCCCTGAAAGAGGACTCTGAAGCATCCCGATGCGCCCAAATGGAGAGGAGGAGAGTGGTGAGGCAGGCGGAAGGCCGCCCCAGACAAGGCCCATGCCTGAGCAGAGCCCCGCTGGGCCCCGAGCCAGCGCCACACTGGGAGGCCAAGGGGACCCAGGGTCTCCACGCTAAGTCCCCCTGAGCTACAGTGCCTGCACCCCCATCTCCTCCTTCCATCCCTGTTTCCAGAATGGGAACATGTCCCTTGTCTTCTGTAATTCTGGGATAAATTTTCCTCAAATGTCCTTGCTCCCGTCTGACATCTCTTCCATTGCCCCCACCCCAGAACTCACTCAGCTTTCTTTGCTCTACGTAGAATCTTGGTTGTTGGCCACAGGCAACCTGGCCTGTCCACAACCCATCCGGTGTGGGTTGGTCTGGTCATCGGCACCCCTCTGGCTCCTGTTAGCTTCCTGCCCCCTCGCCAGGGCCCCATCAACCCAACACAGCACATCCCAACCCTGCCAAGGGAGCACATGCTGGCAGAAGAAGCCATTAACACCGAAATTTCTGCAAGCTGGAAATTCTCATAATTAACATTTATTTTCAAGATCTCAGGAGTCTAAATAACCTGAAGGGAAAAAGAGGACTACCATCTTATCAGGAAATGGGATCTGTAGAAATAAACTCAGTAATAGAAGCCTCAAATTTTATTCCAGGGCCCAATTATCAGATACAAATATTTCCATTGATTAAAACAACATAAGAAGCTGGCTCTATTCACTAAGAACTCTTAGTGCATTCAGAAAGTCTCTGAAAACAGCAACGATTACAATCAGCCATATAATCAAATATTAGTTCTAATATAATCATTTCCCCAAGCTTAGCAAATACAGATCTTAATATAGATAGTAACCATACATTCGAGGAAGAAACAATTACTTCGATAATACGAAGCTCAACACAAATGCAGAACACTAAATTAGAGAACATTAACTGATGGATGGTAGTCACCATGGTGATATTTACTAACATGAGACCTTGGAAGACCTAGCAAGTTTTCATTATCATTATCATATCAGCAAGTTTGGAGATGACACCTTTCTAAACCCAGACAATGGGCCCCTCACCCAAAGCAACACAAACCAGACCTTTCTGAAAAAAGTGCGCTGACATTAGAGAGCACTTAGACTTCTGATACAACAATATGTTGAACCTGGCTCACCCAGGAAAAGGACAAATGGTTAATAAATGTGACAGGTCTATTTGTTTTGATAAATGTAAGCTGATAAAATTATTCAGCGGGGAGAAAAGACACTTGCCTATTCTACCTAAACAACGCGTGTGTTCAGACTGAAAAATGACAACTACTCTGCCATTTTGCCTCTGTCTCTCTATCTCTGCCTGACTCAGAACACACACATACACACACACACATACTTCAGCGCCCTTAAGGGCACTATAAACAATATTTATTGACACCGAAGTCCATGAAGAGTTGCCAAGCAACTTCTCTGAGGCTTGTCCACACAAACCATGTACCTTGCCATTTTCTACTTCCTAAAGTGAATTTCTCCGTGCCATCTAAACCAGTGCTTTTTCCGTTTTAAAAACTGCTGACAAATAAGTCCCTTAACACAAGTGAGAGTCCCTATTGCCCCAGAGATGGGCCAGCTCGACAGACTGGCACCAGGACCTTGTGGAGAAAGCACAAGCTCAGATGACTTGTCCCCAACCGAAAATGACCCTCTAGGGTAAATGGTCTCATTCCACAGCCTGAAGACATTGTAACACCATGAGGAGGCTTTATGAGACACACGCCCAAAATGTTCAGCTCCGGGCCTGTGGGCAGAACTTCTCCTGCTGAGACGACTCGAGGGAAACATCAGCGGGTCGGTAAGGACACTACAGCGGCCATAATGAACAGTGGGTCGCGCATCACACATGGAGATTCTGACTTGGGCTCAGACCCAGAAGGCAGAAACAAAGAGCAAATGAAGACAGGATGAGGACGCTCGGCTCACGCAAAAATGAAATTTCTCAAGGAAGGGCCACTCGATGGTAACTCAGACCACTCGGGCAACCGACGTCCTGCCAGTCTATGAATCTGGGCGAAAACAGGGCTGCTTGACTTTGTGATCAACGCGGACCTGATCTTACCAGATCATTAGCCTGACTCACTCATTGTTTCATTCTCCCTGTTGGAGCAGTTTATGGGCAGATAAATGCATGGAGATAATGTTTCCAGGCTGGGTCTGCAGCCATAGACATTAAAGGAAACAGGCTAAATCCCTGATAAAAAAAAAATTAAAAAGTGACTCACAGAGATGCCTGGGTCCATTCGCCGTTTGCTTTATCTACAGCAACCTAACGTCACACTTACTCTGACGTAGTAACAATGACGGTGCCTGCCACCGGTGGAATCCCCGCCACCTCCCAGGCAGCACGGCATGTCTACATTCATTCATCCATCCAAATAACAGTTAGGGAACGTCCACCGTGGGACACAACTGTTCTAGGTTCCAGGATACAACTGGAATAAAACAACGTCCCTACCAGCGTAGAACTTCCTTCCCAGTAAGAGGAGAAAGAAAACAGAAGACTAAAATTATAGACTGTATCAGATGGTGATCAGCGCTGTGAGAAAGAAGGGGGGATGGGGGGCAAAGGAGCCAGAGGGTGACCGTGTGAGCATGCTGTCCTAACCAGACCACCAGGAGCACTACTGGGTTTTGGGCACAGATCCCATTCACCGACTCATTGCTGCAAGGGAGAACACACCCCCCTGGGATCCAGGCATCTAAGAAGAGGGAGTTCAATGAACTTATTGTAAGATTTGGGCTGTGTTAGGTGATCTGGGAAGGGTTCAAAAAAGCAGGATTTTTGCTCTGAATCAAACGCTGTCAGGAAAAGAGAGGGCAATCCTATGTCAGGGGACCTTCACCTAGAAGCAAGAGGAATAAAGCGCGGCAGTCACGCATAGCAGCCAGTAGGGGGAAACGTGGCCATAGCTGCGGTATGGCCCATTTTTTTTTCCGTCTGCACTTGGCCATGATTACAAAGGGCTCTTGCATTAGTCTGGAGCCATCACGGTCAGAGAGTGGCCTCATCTGATATGGGTGTTCTCTGACATTGCTTGTGCTCAGCAGGAGACCACCACACCTGTCAGAGGCTGCTTCTCTTTCCTGTGCTCAACCCTAATTCGACTTCACAAGATAAGTACTATTACCATTTCTCTTTTTAAGATGAGACACAAAGGCCCAGAGAGGCGAAGGACTTACCCTAGAACAAGCAACTAAGAAAGCCAGGATTCAAAGTAGGTCACCTGACTCCAGAGCCAGCCTCTTATCCACCCCCCAAACAGGGCGCAGCCTGTGAGCCTTCTGAACCTCATAGCAACATTAGCTTCAGAAGCGTCAGGGCTGGTTTCAGTGGACACAAAGCCTGGGGAAAAATGCTGCCAGTAGACACCCCGACACCTAGGCCAGAATTTATACAAGTGCCCACAAAATAAGTCCACCGGATGAGTATCAAGGTGACAGTATTCTTCTCCCAGGGATGAGGAAACACATTCCATTTTGTTTCGATGGAAAGGTTTCTTTTTCATAATCTCATCAAAACCAATTTATGTCAGCAACTTCTGAACGACAACCAAGGTTATCAATACTGGAAACAAGCAGGTTAAAATAGCATAAAGGCAACAGGCCAGTGTGTACAGGGAAGAGAGTACAGGCGGCCACGTCAGGGCTTACCAGCAGGTTTTCTGGCTTGAGGTCCCGGTGGACGATGTTCTGGTCGTGCATGTGGACGAGAGCCTTACACAAGTCCCGGAGCATGAGGGCGGCGTCGCGCTCTGGGAACTTCACACTCTCTAGGATGGCGTCAAACAGGTCCCCGCCCTGCACGTACTCCATGATCAGGTAGATTTCCATGTCCGTTTCGTACACCTCATGCAGTTTCACTATGTTGGGATGAGAGAGGCTCTGGATGATTAAGATCTCGCTATCAATCATGTCCTCCTTTCCCTTGAGCTTGGACTTGTCGATGATCTTCATGGCGTAGGCCTGCCCGGTGTCCCGGTGTCGGCACTCCTTCACGATGGCAAAGTTCCCGTCCCCGATGACCCGGCCAGTCTCATACTGCTTCTCCACGCTGGCCAAGATGATGCCTGCGGGTCGCCGCTTCCGGCCACCAGGCCTCTCTGGCTTGCTTTCTTCTGTCTTCATCTTGGGCTCCTTTTCGACCCTTGCGGGTTGGTCATCCCTGGGAAGCATCCTCCTCCCACCTGACACGCTTGGCTTTTTCTCCTTCTCTGCCTCCTGCTCTTCCCCTCGGGTCCTAGGGGGCTTCTCTGAGTCGGCCTGGTGCTCCCTGAGGAACCAGCCGCCACGCTTCTGCCGGGCATCTTTCTTCCCACCCTCTCTGACGGGCTGAGCTTCCACAACATCCTTCTTAGCCTTGGCCACTCCTTGAGGCTGACCTTCCTGACCTTCGGGGTCTCTGTCCTCTTTCTTGTCCGTGTTCTTGCTGGGTCTCCTCAGCTCCGGAGTAGGGTTCCTGGGACAGCTCCTGTGGCTGTCACCCTTCCACCCTTCCTCCCCTCCCGGGGGTTTGGCCTCGGGGGACCTCCTGCAGCTCCTGGTCCTCACCAGCTTCTCCACGTCATACCGTTGGCACTTGCCCATGTCGAGCTCGCTGGTCCCCAGGGACAGCTTCTCCCTCTGCAGGCCCTGCCGAAGCTCTCTCTCTCTCTTGCACTTCTCACACCTGATGATTTCACCGGAGGTCTTCTCTATCTCCACGGCCAGGTGCTTCTCCCCACTGGCAGGCTTCTCGGAAGTGGCTTCCCGGGGCGGCTTGCTGCCAGGGTCAGGCTCCCGTTTGCCCCGCACCCACGTCTTCTGGGCCCTGGCCCTGTCCTCCAGCACCGGCTCCACGGGGGCCTTCCCCTGATGCCTGATGGCTGTCTTGGACCCAGCAGCCTCACTGCAGCTCTTGGCCGTCTCCGTCTCCCCACAGAGGTGACCCCCTTTCAGAGCCTTGCAATAAAGCCTGCTCCTCAGCCTCGGAGAGGGTGCCCAGCTGTGCTGGGTCAGCATCAGAGCCCGGGCCTTACTGGGGTACAGTTCCTCCATGGCCACCTGAATGTTCTTCAGCGTCAACGGTTCCTTGCCCATGGCTATGAAAGCATCCCCTTCCCTGAAGAAATCAGAGACGCTGCGGATTTCCCTGCCCTTGAGGTTAAACAGTTTCCTCACGCGATCGTTCTTCCATCTCGGGAAGCCCAGGGCCTCCGAGACGTCAGCCAAGAGCTGCTCGAAGGTCTGCACTGAGCGCCTGTTGAGCAGCAGGGTGATCTTCCGGAGGGGGTGCCCGCCCAGCTTCACCACGGTCACCACCCTGGGCTTCAGGGGACTGCTCTCAGCATGGACGCAGTGCGGGCTGTTCTGATGGCTGAACACCGGCCCCATGGAGCTGCGGGGGCCCAGGACAGGTTTCTCCAGACTCCCTCGGCCAGCAGGCAGCCATGTGCCCTGCAGCTTCCGCTCCATGATTCTCGAGCTTAAGTATTTTAGGGAATGGTCACATAGGCCTCGATGTCCTGCAAGAGGAACATGACAACACCGCATTAGTCTATGTGGGTTCAAAGAGCCTTTTGGCCTTTGGCAACACTTGAGTAAAGACTACTGATTCTATCATTGTTTATAAGGGTGACCTTTGAGGATCAGCCCACAACAACAGGGCCTTTACACCTCAGGGCTAATCCACAGTCGCCTCTGTGAGAGACCAGGACTGCAGAACGGAGTCAGCACTGGGCCTCAGGTGGCTCCTCCAGGCTTCTCAGGGACCCCCAGGCTGGGCCACACCTCAGGAGCCTGTTCTAAGCAAGGCCTGACCCTGAGGACACACATAATCCTGCTACATAAAGCGAGGTGACCTTCAAGGTCCTACAACTGAGGCTAGAGGTCCAAAGTCTGCTACCTAGGAAATACCAACAAGATGTCAGAACATTCTGGAACTTTAAAGAACCCAAACCTTACTCACCTCAAGTTTTCTCAGCTTGACTTTCAACCCACTCAAGGTGAGGCAATCTGGGGAGAAGCTCTGAGCACAGAGTTTGAAAAAGATCTGGATCTGAATCCTGGCATGGCCACCGACTATCTGTGTGAACCTGGGCAAACACTGCAGTCTTTTCATCTATGAAGTAGGAATGCTTACAGCCTCCTCCCAGGTTTTTTGTGGAGAGTAAATGAGAAATGATTACTATTTACTTAGAGTACTTGATAGTAATTGCTAATTACCAATACTGTCCAAACTACCTTAATATTTCTTCTTTGGTACGCTCATTTCATTTTGGTAGTGATGCCACCTGTTGATAAGGTAGACTTCTACGGTGTACAGCCTCACCTGGTCTCTCAAGAACTCAGGGACAAATGCTGGATATTTCTTAAAGCTCTGATTGAGCCCCAGTTGGCATGGCTCAGTGGACTGAGTGCTAGCCTGTGAACCAAAAGGTCGCCGGTTTGATTCCCACTCAGGGCACATGCCTGGGTTGTAGGTCAGGTCCCCAGTTGGGGGCACACTAGAGGCAACCACACATTGATGCTGCTCTCCCTCTTTCTCCCTCCCTTCTCCTCTGTCTAAAAATAAAGAAAATCTTTTAAAAAAAAGCTTTGATTGAGATTTTCTTGCCCTGGGGGTTTAAAAAACAAAAGTTGAAGATTTCAGTCTACATACAGAAACTTTCTTCTCCAAAAAGATGTTTCTCTCATTATTAAAAAAGGGAAAGAAACCAGGTCGCCTTAATATTCAGAGAGAATATGTTCTGAATAAATGAATAAATGAATAAAACAAGACTTAGTATTTCCAGCTCAACTGTACCCAGCCAGAATAAAGTAGATGAGGCAAAAGCAGTTCAATTTCCATTTCTGTCCAGGTCAGGAAAGGAAACCGGAAAATTACAGGATCTGTAGGTCCGTTCGAAGTTACCCCACAGGGTCCACATGTCCTATCCTACGTGTAGGAATCTGCCGTCTACTCTTCCTTTAGAGTCACAGTAAGTTGTTAATTGCACTTGAATTGTGGCAAAAACTCCCCTTGTGCCAGGATGGGCAATTTGGCTGGGCATATTAACCCAGAATGTTTTTTTGTTTTTTAATTATAACATACAATCTGTTCTGAGATGATTTCCATCAGACACAGGTGTCAGAGTAGATGACAAGTGGTGGCTGGGACTGATCTTCCCACACGCCATAAATTTATGAGCCTGACAATCACATTTACAGTGAAACTATTTATGGGCATCTGCTATTCCTTTTCTTGTCATGCTCTCTCTAACCTGCCTCCACTTCTGCCGGAAAGAACTGGCGCTGAGGGGGAGAGACTTGTGTCTCCCCACTGGAAAAACTGAGGAAGGATGACCTTCAAATGCATGTGTTCTTATTTCTTATTCTTATGGTGCTTCTCAGAATAAAACCCTCTATACGTACTTGTCAGGCTAAGGAAATGAAAAAAAAAATCTCTATTCCAGGAAAGGGGAAGAGAGAGAAGTTTTCAGGGAGAAGCAGCAGGACAAGGGAGCCGTCGTGAGCACAGGGGTCAGGGGGTCCCAGAGAAAGGTCAAGTACGCGACGTCAGAACCAAGAACAATATTCCGGGAACAGGGCAAATGCTATGCAGGCTCACATGTTGAGGGGTGACCTAAGATGACAGAAACAAATCATGATGGGACCAGTGGCCTCAAGGTCCCAAACAGTGAACATGTGGAGTTTGGGTGTAGGGACAGATGACTTGACCCAACCTCAGAACCTGCCCTGATTCCTTCTCATACAAGGGAACACCCCACCCCTGAACCCAGAAGAGGCTCCCCCAGCGCGGCCCCCCACCCAGGGTGCAGAAGCAAAGGATGTGAATGAAGAGAGAGCAGCTCGGCCTCCACCGCACCACCATCAGGCATGCTCGGTCCACTGCCAGGTCACTCACAAACTCATTCAAAACCCGCTGTGGTCGGGGGCAAGCGTGAGAGCTCAGACCTCCACTCCCCCACCCCCCCACCCCACCCCCGCCATACAACTGGGTTCTGCCTGCTTCCAGCTACACGGGAGCACTAGGAAAACACAACCTCATGATGCAAATATTTTAATCCTCTCTTCCGCAAGTCCTCCCTGCCCCTTTAAAATTCTTAGTCCGGAGCACATTTTTCTTCTCTAAAGGTAAGAGGATACAATCGGGAGACTGAATGACTGGTCCTTGGTCAAGGAGAGCAAATGTTAGAGAGAAAAAGAACATGATACATCCCTTGGGCCCTGGGCCAGTCTCCAGGAACAATCTCATCTCCCAAGGACAACAGCACACTGAGTACTTTTGACGAACTGCAAACAGCATTATCCAGGTACCTACCCCAATCAATCCAACCGGGAAGGCAAAGGCCAGTCTGTGTCTCTGCATCTCCAACAACTTACAAAATCAATTTGGTGTAATCATGTGACATCGCTGGTAATTCTACCCATCTTGACCTACCAAAAAATGGAAATTTCATATGATCTAAACTAGTAATCCCTACTCTGTCCCTACATCCACATCCACAGTAAATAATTAACAAAGGTAGAGATAATAAAAATTAGACAGCATAATTCCCAGTCCTTGGTCACCACGCCAGCAGCTTCCCAGGAAGTGACCTAGAGAAAGGATGCTCTTGTAGCTCCCTAATTTCCTGCTAACTTTCTACAGCAGCATAAATTGGCCTCGATTTGGCAGTACCGCTGGTTTTGCCTCATTTACCATAAATACAAATGTTTCTAAGGCTTCTCCCCAGTGCCAATCTAACCCCACGCATATAGAACAAGTGCTGCTTTCGCTGAGCCACTCCTTTGCTCAGGAGCCTACAGTGGCTCCTTCTTGGAAGGTCAAACCCAACCTCCTCCACCTGATAGGGAAGGCCTTCCATAATCCCGTGGTCCCATCCATCCCAAGCCCACTGCGCCCTCACTCTCCCCGATCCAAGCCTCACCATCCTGTAAGACCTAAGACCCACATCCACCGCCCAACCTCCCCTGACCTCACAAGTTCAGTCAAAGCTCCCTCCTCTGGAGACCTGTTCATTTCATTAGACCAGCATTCATCACGAACGCTGGACACCCGCTGCCAGCGCTCGGCTGCGGAACACCTGGTCTCCCCTTCGGCACATCTGCACTAATGGTTGTGTCGTCTTCATAGGTGTAAATATTCTTCCTCTCAACTAAATGTAAGCTCTCCAAAAACAGACACTATGCATTATGCAGATTCCCCTGCTCCATCCTGTAACGTACAAGAGGCACTCGAGACCTGAGAAACCAGTTCTCAGCCCAAAAATCGAACACTTGTCAAGTCTCAGGTTTCTAGCTCTCATTGGAAATAATTGAGTGTAACTACTTTCCGCACTGGTAGACATCACACAACAGACCTCGAGAGATGAAATAACCGAGGTGAGAAAAAAAAAAACACTATGATTTCCCCCAAATCCAGGCACATCTCGAGGACGAAGAGAATACAATGCTAAATGTGAGTTGGCTGGGGGAATTTGCCATTCATGTAGCAATTGAAATAGAAAACCAGTAGAGACAGGATAGTAATAGAAACACTCCAGAAAAGAATCTAAGCATACGGCCCTTCCTGCTCACTGATCCTAGGATTCTTCCTGACTGGTGTGACCTAATAAGCTCAGAAGCTGCACAGGCATTTTGCTGCGATTACCTCTAATGCATTCGGCTCCTATCTGCTGCCACAACTGAGGTGAATCAAAATAACCCGATCTCACAGTGGTCCACTCTACACCTTATTATGCTGCCAAGGTTACCCAAGATGACCGGAAGTCACATTAGCCCAGCTTCCTTTCTAATCATTTATTATTACTTTGTTGATGCTGCTATTCATCAAACAAGGGGGAAAAAACAATAAAAAATATACTGCTAAAATTAATCGTTTGTCTCTTTCAATCAGAACAAAGAGAATGTCCCTTTTCCCAAAGTGTCTAAACCAGTGGCTCCCACTTTCAATGTACTTGGTTCTATAGGGCTGGGCTTCTAAATGGTCAAGCGCGTACACACACACACACACACACACACACACACACACCCACCCAGGGACCTGTTAAAGTGCAGCTCCTAATTCAGTGAGTCCAGGGCCAGGGCAGGGCCTGAGATGCCACATCTCTAACAAGGTCCCAGGTGAGACCGATGCTGCTGGTCCACAGACCACACTTTGAGAAGCAAAGACACAGAGAGAAGTCCCAGAGCACCTCTGGGAGTGCTGGTCAACTACAACTCCCATCAAAGTGGACCATAAACTAATTCCTTGAAGAAATGTTACAACCAACAGTGTCTTTATTTTCACAATGTAAGTGACAGGTGACATTTAATCAAAACACGACATCATCAGTGCAGCAAAACAAAAAGTCTAGTCATGAGTTCCTTGTCAAAGGGTTTTCTTTTAAATACAGCAAACACAAATAGGGGAGGGAGGGGCTTCCCAAAGGGGTCCAGCAGCATCGGTATCACCGGGGTGCTTGTCAGACATGCAGAATCTCAGGTCCCCCACCCCCAGACCTACGGAATCAGATTCTGC